AAAAAAAAAAAAACAGGCCTGGGCTTCTGAGACTCTACCCTAGGGACACGATATAAATACGAGGGAATCCCTGTGAATGGGAACTTTCATCCAAGTGTTTCAATGCGGGCTCAGGGTCGGAGTCACAGCCAGGCCATTTACCAGCAGTCAGGCCATTTACCAGCAGGGGACAGATGGTGGGATAGATGTTTTGAATGGCGGAGGTGGCTGTGGGCAGGAGACCGGAATGAGAAAAAACACAGGATTTGGGGGAAGGATCGGCCAAGACTATGGCTGGAGGTTCCTGGGGAGGCGGAGGAGGTGCCTGGGGTGTTTGCGGGGGGACCCGGGTGTCAGATCGCGGGGTGTCCAGACAGCAGGTGACCACGTGAGGAAAGTGTAGGCTTTTCGAGGGGCCGCCCAGCAACAGCTGGGCCCTCCCCCCGCGCCCGCGGTGCTCCGGGATCCTGCCCCTCCCTCTCTCCCGCCCGCCGCCTGATCTCAAAGCCGCCGGCCCCCAGCGCCCGACTTCAGCCACCACCCCCGGGGAGAGGACCGACTGCCTACACCGCCGTCCCGGGGCTCCCTGGGCGGGGCCGACCCCAGGGAGCCCCCCGATTGCCTCCCAGAGCGGGGTGGGGAAAGGGATCTAAGCCCGCTGCCGCCTCCGAGCGAGCCACCAAGTGAGCGCCGGGACAGGTAGGGACCCAGGCCGGGACCCGTGTCCGGTCCCCACTCGCAGGCCGGGCGCCCCGGGTAGGACTTCCGCCCAGGCCCTGCCCGGAGGGGCGGGTACCCGGGAGTCCTGCACCGCAGCGCCCCTTCCCGGGCCCTCCCAGGTCCTAGGCTATCGCAGCCAACTTGTGCCTCTTTAAGTCCCGAGTTACACAACGCACGTTTGAAAGCCCCAGGTCGTACGGAAAGGGCTTTGCATTTCAAACAGGTCCTCTAGCGCCCGCGCCTCTCCACTCGCCCCGAGTCCGCGGAGGCCACCGTTAAACAAATCCCAATCCCAAACGACCGACCCACACGTGTTCACAGCAGCCGCTGAAAGGCTGATCACTTTTTACCAACTCTGGGTTTTGTTTCTTCTGGCTATCAACCCCTTTCCAAATCTGGGAATCAGAAGTCTTAGAGCGCCGTTTCTTGATTTAGCAACTTGTGCACAATATGTTTTTAGCTACGGCCGCACCTCCCAATTTAAATTTTGTTCTTCTAAGTTAACTTTCGCAGTGTTCAGTTATATTTTTTCACGCTCCACATCTTGTTCCTTCGACTTTAGACAGCATCTCTTTACTCCCTGTTTGAAAGACTGCAATTAGGAAATTACTTCTAAAATAAATAATTTTTAAATGCCTCAGTAACACACAAGAACAAAAGACAAATAAGACAACGCTCTGCATGAAAAATGTCCTTTAAACACCTCCCCCGCAGACAATTAAGATTTTTATTAAATGACTTCGAAAATGGCAAAAGTAGCTTGTGACTGTGGTGCATCACTTTAAAGCTTTTTCTGCTTTTCATTCCTCTGGTAGTTATTTCCAAATCTCTAAAGCAAATTCTTGGATTATTTCTTAGGTTATCAACTTTTAGACAATGTCCACTAATCAATCCCTTGCTTAAAATAAATAGGGACAGCTTTCATCACTTGCAGGTTCCTCCCCTTATATAATCACAGCATTCTTTTTAGTTTCTCTATTGGCTACTTTTATAACATAAAATAACTTTTTAAACTGATATTTCTTGTTATATATATACATCCAAACAAATGATTACAAGTGGACGCTTTGGTCAACTTTGCTCAAGCAGTAGTTCACCGTAGTCAGAAGTGTCTGGATGCTGATGGTAACCACTTAGAGCACCTTTTGTAATTGTAGAAGTCAAACATGACTTGTATTCATCTTTTGTTATCGGTATATATTATCACGATTTTAGTACAGTTTTTCCTTTCTTAAAATGTGTATACATTTTTTGGGATATACATATTTCTTGTTGACTCCCTTTTTGTAAGTCCTGGCTGAGGAATCTGCTTAAAAACATTTTTTCACATAAAAGTCCTATACTTATTTAAATACTATTTTTTATCCAATCAAATTAGAAGACATATGATTCACAAATCAAATAGAAGTGAGTCTGCCTTATTTTTTTCTATGATAAAAATAATGTAATCTCTTGTAAAAAAAAATGGAAAAGGCAAGGCAGTGTTTTAGATTAAAAGGGATTAAGGAAACCAAACCATCCCCAGCAGTGTGAGGCCCTGGCCTTTTAGAAGAAACAGCTACCAAAGACCTTCATGGGACCATGAAGAAAATGGTTCATGGGCTGGGTATTACAAGGCAGAATGGACTTCCCTGAGTAGTCGTAAGTGGGATCACAGTGTAGACCTATAGGATGCCCTTATTCTTTTTTAGAAGATGTGTGTCGAAATATTGGGTTGTCAGAAAAGTAATGAGGTATTTTTTTCTATGTTTTTCATTGCAAAAACGCGTCATGACTTTTCTGACAACCCAATATTTCCGTTTATCAAAAGAAAAAGCAAATATGGCAAAATGGATGCTTGTTTTTCTATTCTTTCAGTTTTTTTTTTTTTTTTTTTAATTGGGGAACTGGGGGGATGGGAACAGTGCTGGGGAATTGGGGGAAGGGGAACAGACAAGTTGCTGTCGTTTTGTTCTTCAGTCTAGTTGNCTGGAAATATTCTTTTTTTTTTTTTTTTAAGATTTTATTGGGGAATTGGGGGAGGGGAACAGCGTTGGGGAATCATGGAAGGGGAACAGACAAGTTGCTGTCCTTTTGTTCTTCAGTCTAGTTGTGGAGGACGTCCCTTCACTGGCCCATGTTGGTATTATCATTGTGCTCTTCCCAGGTGAGGCAGATCGGTTGAGGGCCACTAAATCTCCACACACAGCGGCTCTTGGCAGCTCACTCTGGCAGCTGGCCGCCCATGCAGCTGCCAGCCATTCACTGTAGCTTATGGCAGCCCACTGCAGCCTACATGGTCACCTTCGACTCATGGCAGCCCAACTCCAGGTCGAGCTGTTGTTCACCATCTTAGCTGTAGAGGGCGCAGCATCACTGGCCCTCATGTGGGATCTGAACCAGGGCCCTGCTGCCCAGAGCTGGGTCCTAAGCCAGCTCTTAATCAACGTGCCATTCTGCCGGCCCTGGAAATATTCTTAAAAAAGAGAAAATCCAGAATCCAAACCATCTAGCCCTCAGCTTTCGGATAAGGAACTTTGTGTGAATCGGCACTAAAAACACGACCAATAATACAATAATTTTTACAACCCGCTGTAAAAAAATGCTTCAAAAGGCAGTTGGCACAAACGAGAGGTAACGTTTACTGGGCAGCCACACTATCTCACACTGTCCTCACGGTGGCGCTGTGGTGCCTTGCTTGAAGTTTCTAGCCAAGGTGACAGCCCCCCCACCCCCTGCGGGGGGGAGGGCCCCCGCGCGTGGTGGTGGGGGTATCCCACGCTCAAACCCACTCTCTGTTGTGACCCGCCCCCCAAGCAAGCGACTGGCACCCCGTGCACAGACTATGAATCTCTGGGCCTCAGTTTCCCAGGAGAGGCACCAGTGGGATCATGCATATAAAGCATTTAGTACAGTGCCTGATATGAGCGAGCACTGGGGAACTGAGGCTGGCAACCATTTACTAGGTATGGGAGGCCTGGCTTTCAGAAAAGTTGACTCTGGGATGTCTAAGGTCAGTCATTTGAGGTCCTTTGGGCAATCTAGGCCAATCAGAAGGAACTGTGAAAGCCCAAGGGCAGAGGTCAAGGGAGAAATGGGTCATGGCCCCATTTTTACTGATGCTGAACCTGCAGATTAATTCTGTTGTCTACAATTTACGGGAGGAGGGAGGTTTCTAAAGTAGGATGTGTAGCAGAGAAGCTCCATTTAAGAACAGGCCTGGGGCCGGCCGAGTGGCGCGATGGTTAAGAACTGGCTTGGGACGCCAGAGGGCCCCGGTTCGGATCCCACATATGAGGGCCAGTGACACTG